GGAAGAACCCACTTCTAACATTGGAAGAGAGAGATGATGTCACACAGGAGTAAGAAAGTTCTGTCATTATAGGCTGTGGGGTCTTCTTTCTCAGAAGATTTAGAAATATCTTCTTGGGATCATTGCCCGGTTGAAAAGGATAGGCAAATTGATCTCTTTTCATGCCTTCCTATCTAAGGATGAAGAGGCACCATTTGATGGTAACATTTGCAAATACAAGACCCAGCAGGAGGTTTTAGATATCGCCCCACTCACTGAGGTCAGCTGAGGGGCCAGGGTGAAGTTGGGATTGAAAGAGGGGATCCTTACATTTGTTACCTAGGAGAAAGATCATCACGACTATGAAAGATGATAAATCAGGGGGTCACCCAGGCTCTACAATGATCCAGCAGTCCCAAGCACAGAGCTCTCATCGTTACCTCAGAGATCAAGATATAAACAACAATATTCATTTTACAACTAAAGACAGTGAGGCCCCCAAGAGGCAAGTGATCCACAGCTGGTCAGTGTCAGGAACGGGCCTGTGCTCCAGGGATGACCTGCTACTTCAACCCAAGGGAGTTTTCTGCAGTTGGAGACATTAGAGAAGATAAGGGCCATAATGCTGACACTAGATGATATTGGCATGTGTTCCCCAATCCCACAGGAATAGGACTCAGAAGCTGGGGAATATCTGGGACTACAATAAATAATGATAAGGCTTATACTGTCACTACAACTTACAAAACACCTATTGAATGCTGGGCACAGTGTTGGTTTCTTTGCTCATATATCTCTTTTGACCACCATATTATATATGGAGGGGGTGTGTCTACCTCACACTATACAAAGACAAGGGAGGGTGATTGGCCTTTGAGGCCACCCCACAGAAGTGATTGGAATGTATTATGCTGAGTAGGTCTTGTCCCTTTCATCTACCCACTAATTGGGACAGGCTCAGACCCGTTAGGCCAGGTCAATGAATATGGGTCTTGACTGCTGCCTCCACCCCAAGAGAAGCACAAGCAGCGTCAGTGCTTCAATGACCCAGGTAAAGACCCCATTGCCCTTGGGAGGGCCGTGAATCCTCTCCCAGGGCTGTTTGTCAGGGTCAGACCCACATGTCTGCCTGACTACTGGGCTTCTGGCCTTAGGAGGACAGTTCAAATGTCTGACTGCTCAGCCAAAAGGAAGATCTTTGTTTTCCTTTCTTTCATCATTTGGGAATTAGTTTGATAAGAATCTCATGCATGCCAATGCCGGCCTGCCTGGTACCTCACCCTTCTATTAAGGAGCACACCTAAGACAAGCAGGAATCTACAGCATGCTTGAGTCCTCAAGCAGGCAGGATGGCGAGGAAGTGCTTGGGCAGATGAGAGCAAAGTCCGGGAATGCATGAGCTGTGCCTATATAGTTCTCGGCCAAGTAAAGACCCTCCAATCACCTTTCAAATAGTCCCTTTGTCTACAGGCTCAGTAACAAAGTGCTTGCCCAAGTCCAGCTCTGATTCCACATCAAACTTGTAGCCCGGCCATTCACCACAGACTTCAGCTTCTTAAGTAACCAAAACAAGGCACCTAAGGTCACATGACCAGAGTAATTTTTCTAAAATGTAAATCTCATCATGTCCCTCCCTTGTTTAAATGGTCAAGGATCGTCTCTGGTGAAACTTTTTTAAACAGTATGATGATCCTGTTTTCAAATTAAATCAAATGTACACCTCCTGGTATAAAGCAGGTAAAGGTATAATGACTTTGCAGCAGGAGGTAAGTGGAAGGTCCAGACTGCTCAGGCTCCCCCTCCCAGGCAGCCCAAATAGTCAAAGATGAAGGATTAGTGGTATTTTAAAATGTGACTCAAAGTTTTTAGGAATCCCCATATAGGTAGGATGATATGAGAGAAAAGAAGGAAATTAAAGTGTATTTTCAACCTACTATCTGTCAAACATTATTTGCATTATCACAGCACAATAGCTTTATGAGTTTCTTATTGTTAATCCCATTTTACAGATTCAACAAAAAAGATGAGGCTCAAGAATAACATATCCATGGTTCAAATGCCAGTGCTCCGATTCTGAGACCCATCTTCTTCCAGCTTCTATGCCACATAAAGACATGAAGCTGATGCAACAGACAATGGTGGAGTGATGGAGGGAGGGCTGAGAGCACCCAAAGCACGGCAACTCCTACTGTCTGGAGGTGTGGCTCTTGGAAGAGGTAATGTTTAAACATTCTTGGCAGCAGGGTTCCAAGGAATATAAATTGGAAGCCACTCATCTATAGGCTAAAATACACAACCCAGCAAGTAAAGTTCTTAATGTTTTGGGCCTTTCTTTCCTTTCTGTCCAGCTAATGTCCCACTTCTTGCTCTTATCCAATATTATGGCCACTATGTTTCCAGGAAAGATCAAGCCCCTTCACATCTCTGTGCATGTGCATGGGTTCTTCTTCATTCTGTTTAGAATGCCAGTTGCCCCTCACTCCCTGACCAACTCCCACTGTTTTTGAGCCTCAGTCTTTTTTATCTGTAAAATGCGTTTAACAATAAACCCATAGAGCCATCACGCTGTGAGAATGCAAACAACATGTTTAATGGATGAGGAGTTGAGAGTAAATTTTAATTCCCTCCTTTCCCTCGTATCATCCCACTTGTACCATTCCTTAAGGGCAAAGAAGTATCTTAATCTTTGAATTCTCAAAACCTTGCACAAAACAGGCATTCTGCAAACAAATTAATATCCTTGAAGTGACATTTGCAAAGTTACTACAAGAAAGGAGTTTCTGCTGGGATAAATAATTTTTCATTATTGAACCAGTAGTTCACTGATGGTATTAATCAATACAATAGAACAATGGTTTCCAACATTTTAAAATTATTTGTACTATTTTGGTGGGGACCATGCAGGGTCATAATATTTTAGCAGGGTTCGTATGCAAGGAGCATAATACTGCCTATTCCCTACAGATCTGCGCTTCAATAGCTCATACTCTCAGCCAGGAGAGGCAGGATTAAGCAAGAGTCACAAAAATACACAAAACTCTACTTTGGCACAATAAGGCAAATGTTAAGTAAGTAACTTCCTCTAATAAGTGGGATGAACTGAATAGACTATATGGTGCTCTTCCCTCATGGTGTGACTTACCTTCAAATATTTCACATGCTCACATAATCACACACGAGTCATCATCTCTCCCCTCTTCATCAAATTCACCACCACTCCCACCCCCAGATAAAATATCTTCAGGGAAAAGAAGGAACCAGGAAAGGCAGCACTTGGACTGGTATTAGCTTCTTGGAGGTCTGATGCTCACAAACGCAAATATAGACTTGAAAATGTGTTGAGATTATCAGATCAGCTCATCTGAAACCCGGAGGGAGTAGCAGAGCTGGGATCAGAGCCCTAACTTCCATTGCAAAACTCTTGCTGCTGGCCAGTATCAATGACTCCATCCTGGGAGCAGCCTCCTACACCTGCCCCATGTGCCCGCTGCTGACCTGGCCTCCCAAGGTACTCTCTCTCAAGGAGTGAAAGGAGGGAGAGCTTTGCCTTAACTTCAAATCACTCATTAATTCGTTGAACAAATATTTTGGGGCATTTTCAATATGTCAGGCACCGTGTTGGTGCTAGGGATAAACAGCAAACTGGTGAACACTGAGATTCCATCCTATTCAGGATAACAGATATTGAAAAATGAATACAAGCATGTTATAAGGGATACAGGATACCATGCAGGCATTTCATAGGAAACACAAGGATTCAGAGCAAAGGAATAGAAATAGGCTTTAGAAAAGTAAAGCAGCCCCTCCTCCTCTAACACAGGGAGACATAAAGGATGGCTGCAGGTGTAAGTAGGTTTGAAGACTCAGTAGTAGGTAGTAGAAGTACTTACATCTGACAGCTACATTTGCTCCATGACATGGAGGCCATATCACCTATCTAGAGGCAGAGGTGAAGGTTTGGAAGATTCCAGAGTGGAGAAAAGGCATGATGTGTGTGGGTAGTGAATACAGAGAAGTATGTGGGATTGCCAAGCAGTGTTGTGGGCCCAGTTTGGGTGGATGATCATGATTTATGATGATGCCAACCTGTCAAAATGTCTTTTTTGTTTTTATTTGTATAGCAGCCAGTCATGGCAGCAAAGATTCAGCCAAGGTTGGGGTGTTGCCAATCAAGTACACTGACCCCAAAGAGGCAAGAATGTTTGTTATATTGGCGAAAGACTGGTTGAAACAGTGGACTGACAAAAGCAAACTGGGTGGAGAGTGGCATGAACAAAGAAGGGAGCTGGCGGGCAGGGAGAAAGTAGATTCCAGTGGATATAACCAATCAAGTTGAAAAGAAGGGACTATGATCAAAGAAAGGGATGCCTGGATTCACAATCTCAGAGAGTCAGGAGACATGGCTTCTAGTTCAGAGTCTGTAAAACTTTGAGCATCTCCTTTGTATTCTCTGGCTCTCAGTTTCCTCATCTATGCGTACAGTGTAAGCAGCAGCTAAAACCCTTTCCAAGTAGGCCTTTCTGTGATGCTACATTATCGATCAATGTTTTAGGCACTTCGGGATCTGAATCAGATACACTGAGCCTTCAGTAGTGACCCATGGGTGCTTAGATTATTGGTTCTAAACCTGTTGACAGAACATACAGAAATTCCCGTGTATGTCCTGGATTGATCCAATATTTGTGGCTTTAGATTTTCATCTCAGGCATGCTTTGGATTCCTGCAGAAACCCTACATTCAACCCCCAAGCTGTGCCATTGGAGACTCCTTGTAAAGTGTGATCTTCTTATCTTTATGGAAATATTTCCAGGGTTTATGGAGGGGAGGGATGCTCTAGGGAGATACTCATGAGGACCTAGTAGTGACCCGATATGACAAAGCGACAGAATGACAGAGCCACTGGAGGTGGGAAGTTGTCGTCATAGCCACCTGGTTGGAAACAGCTTTCATATCATCATGGCCCATTTCCTCGAGTTGGGTGCAGGATATGTATAAAAGGCCTCACATCATACTGTCTCCTCACTTCAATTGACATACCCATCGCTTGCCTGAGGTTAGGAGAACAAGGTGAGTGTCTTTACCGATCTGATGGCAGTTTGGGGATGGCCAGGACTGCCACACCTCAGCTGAATGGGACAAGCCACTCCAGGGTGGAGAGAATGGGAATTAACTGGTAATTGCAAGAAGATCAGGCTCATGGAAATCATTGGGGTGGCTCAGAAGTAGCAAGCCCAGAAATGATGAATGTTAACCAGAGATTGGTGTCGGGGTAGGGGAAGCCAGTTTGTAGGACAAGAGACAGCCATACAAGGCAGAAGAGTAGGTCTAAAGGCAGAACCTACGATGTATGAAAGAAGAAAAGGGAGATGATGAAGACAGGTGATGTAACTCTCTGGACTCAGGCTAAACACATGGTTTCTGGAATGAATAGATTAGAGGATGCTTCAAAAACAATTTAAGACTTAGGGAACTACCTGGTGCCCTGAGTTGCTGCCTTTGAAGTCAGGAGTCTTGGGAAAACCACAACAGGTAGAATAACGTGTTACCAAAGTCTAATTTACCCACTGCCTGATTTCTCCCGTGACAGGAAAGTAGGGCTACACTGCTTTAAAGGAGTCCCTGAAGCTGTAGAATCAGTTACGGAACTTCAGACTCTGTAGAAAAATATTGACACAAATAAGGTTTATATTCACTGGACTTTCAAAATATCTGTCTTGCTTTTTAGAGTAACTGAACTTTCTCCAAGATGTCCTGCCAGCAAAACCAGCAGAAGAGCCAGCTCCCTGCCAAGTTCTTCCCCAAATGTCCACCCAAGTGCCCTGCTCAGGCCCCTCAAGCCCCTGCTCCCTGCTCCCCTCCCGACCCCTCCTGCTATGCCCCCAGTTGCTGTATTTCTGGCTTTGGAGGCTGCTCCTGTCTGGTGTCTCATCGGTTTCCACGCATCTGCCTATGCCAGCCCCAGCCTTCCGACTGCTGCCTGAGAGAATCCTCTGGATGCTCCAGTTGTTGCCATGGCCTTGGGGGTTGCAGCTTTTGAGGAACCAAAGATCCACAGCCAAGGACCAGCCTAGAATGGACGTCTTTCCTCACTCTAACCCTTGTCCTCCCCTCTCCTCCTGAACTAAGCTGCCTAGATGTGTAGACGGTGGATTCCTCTTTTTGCTGAGAACCTCAGACCTCATGGCCTTGGCTCTTATCCTACATCAGGGATACCTGAATACTACAGAAAACTCTGCTTCCCAAAGCCTATCAATGTGAAAAAATAAAGCTTGTTTTTCCTGCTACCCTGAACTTCTTGGTGTTTGTTGATTCTTCCATCCTCAGCTCTGAGGAACTCCCATTAAGTTGGATTATTTAAGCAGACCCCTCAGTGAGCCAGCCAGATGGGAAATTCCCAATGAGGTAGACCCTAGGTCTGAACAATTTGAGGGGGCTGTGAAAAGGAAAGATCTAGAGGGGAGCAATAGGAGGACTTCCCCAAATGTCAGTGACTCTGATCCACTGCTGCTGCTGCCGATGCCGCCATCACTGAGGTTTCTTCCTACTGATTAAGGACACTCTGCTTCTCAGGCCCAGAATTTAGCCTCCAGACCATTAGGACTTGGGGGAATCTCATGCTCAAGCAAGAAACGGCACAGGGATATTTATAATTTTCAGATCTCTGTTCAAAAACCCATGATGATACTCTCCTTGAGCATATCCACCTGATGAGTCCCTCGCTCCTCTTCACAGAGGAGCCAGGAACTACGCAGTGGCCCACTTAGCACAATATCCCTGGGAGACTTTTTTCTACCTACCCTTGTGGTTTCTTTTCCTCTTCTATTCAAATGGCATGGGTTTAGGGGCAAGTTCTCAAACACTGTCCTTTCCAACCCAACATTTTCTTTCCAACAACAGGGCATAGGCAATAACAATGCTTCTGCTCATCCTCCGGGACTGTGGGCCTTAATGACAGTACAAGACACACTGGTGCTTATCAGGCTGGTAGGATCCCAGAAACTGCACATGATCTACAGCTTAGATTAACATGGTGGGGTGTGTCTCATGCATGAATGCCATCCATTAGGTGTGTGGTAGCAGAAGAGAGATTGATGGATGCAGCTCCTGGCCATCCTCTTGGACCAAAATAAAATAGTTTAAAATTGCAGTTGGCGAGGGGCATCCATGTCACTGAGAGCTTTCGGGGTTAGAAGAAGGTGAACTTGACCACCTTGTTCACATCTCAATCGATACTCGGTCCAAGGAAGAGAACTTCTAGATCAATGGATTTCAATCTCTGACAAAAGGAAGAGTAGGAGTCCAGAGAAGTATTTCAGGGATTCTTGAGACGTCTTCAAGAGAAAAACAGTGTGTTTACTCATTTAAAATGCTGAGATAATATCCAGCATGCTTACTCAAGAGTGTTAAATAACTGGTGATAAACGGCTACATCTTGGAGATCATCATGCTCTCCAGGTAATCTGGGCTGTTAGCCTAACTATCAGAGGTCAGAGGAAAAATATTGTAACATCTCAGTGTGCATTTTTAAGGTCTTAGTCACATTTGTTGATTTAAGGGGAAATATTCTTTTTACCACATTATATCGTTATTCTTTAAAATAATACCTTCTATCTCAAACTCACTGGAGAAAGTGTGAGTGATCTGACAGGTGAAATGGTGAGAGTCTTACTTTTATTTATGTGTGCTTTTCTCTTTTGTGTTTTGGTAACATTGATTTATAACATTGTCTAAATTGCAGGTGTGCACCATTCAATTTCACCTACTCTGTAGACTATATTGTGTTCACCACCAAATGTGTAATTGCCCTCTGTCACCATGCACATGTGCCCCTTTACCCCTTTCACCCTCCCCCCACCCCTCTTTCCAGTTGGTAACCACCAATCTGTTCTCTGTATCTATGAGTTTGTTTGTTTATCTTCCACATATGACTGAAATCATACAGTATTTGTCTTTCTCTGTCTGACTTATTTTGCTTAGCATAATGACCTCAAAGTCCATCTATGTTGTTGTAAATGGCAAAATGTTATCTTTTTATGGCTGAGAAGTATTCCATTGTGTGAGTGTGTGTGTGTGTGTGTGTACACTACATCTTCTTTATCTATTTATCTATCAATGGGCACTTGAGTTGTGTGTGCTTTTCTTTTGTGCTCATTCTCAGTAGCTGGGGGAGTGTCTCTCTGTGGACCAAGTTCTGTCATAATCCAGTTCCCAAGGTTTAGACTGTGGGATAGATATTATGGCTTCCATTTTGGCCATGGTAAAACACATTCTCCAACGCTCTGCTCTACCAACCTTCTGGCTTAAAATAACGTCTCTCTCTCAATTGATTCAGAGTTGAGAGAGGAAAATAATATGATTCGTTAACCTTCCCCAAATCTCAATATTAAGAAGAATGTAGCTCTGTACTAGATCCACCCCCATTCCTTATATACTACATTTAGTACATACAATTTTACTCACACAAAACTGTACTACAGCCCATTGCAGTAAATGTGATACCAAGTAAGTCCAGGGGCATCAGTGCCTCCTGGTGAGTTATTTTAATAGCTGGTAAACAAGTCATATGCCCCGTCTAGTAATATAAGGCTAAAGCTAATCTTAGCACTTAGTATAAGTTTTCTTATCTGACTTTATATTTATAAATGCTTATTTTATGTAAAGATAAAATAATGCCTCTTTATGTTAGAAACTGATCACTGATTAAATAGAGAAAATTTTAAAAGAATAAAATTCCACTGTGTCCAGCAGAATGTTCAGGCTTAAAATAAGATAAATTATTCAGTATTGGTACTAGATGATTTTCAACTAGCAATAACCATGTTGATTACAGTATACAAAATTAATGCCATGTGCCCCAAATTTAACTCTAATTTACCCTAAAATACTACATTGTAATTTTTTTTAGCACTAGGATGCGCCTTTTATAGTGGTTAAAAACAGGTTAAATCTCTGACATGTTTGTTTGCTTGTGAAATTTCACAAGATAGCTTATTGTCAGCTATTTTCTCACAATTAAACATGTTATTTTTTCCATAAAGTGTAAAATATATTGACTTGAAGTAGCTAAATGTTGATTTAAAAGTACAGATAAATTCAAATCTGGCAATGAAAATACATTATATTATAGTTAAAATGGGTTTACACATTGTACACGAGAGAAAAACATACACCACTAGAGAATAGCTTGTTAAAAACTACAGGCTAGTGACACTGTAAGAAGGATGTTAGACCACCAGCTGATTTAGAAATACAGTTAGGATCATTTGCTGATAAAGAAGGTCTGAAAGATTCCAGTATGATATCAATCATACTTCATGAATTATTCTAAAGGTCAAGATCATGAGATATTGACAATAAAATTAAACAGGAGTCTGGATGTTGAGAATCTTTCCATTTTTCTTATTTTGCTACACTATGTTCAAGCAAGTAAATATAAAGATGATTGACATAGACTCAACAGAAGAAAACAACTTTTATATTGAGATCAGATTTTTAACACATTATTAAATAAATAGGCAAAAGTGATGTTTGTATGATACTCCAAAAGTCAAGGCAAGAAAAGCTGTATGGACTGTGCTTTTAAAGACACTATTGTTAATATATGGTTAAGGAATTGTCACATGTTGCATGAAAAAAAATGGATTTACTAAGACACTGACATATAAAACAAGGTCTGACAAAGCCATTCATTAAGGTTGTCTTTAAATTGCCAGATTTCCAGTATCATTTGTATGAAATGAAAAGAAATGGCATTTACTTTTTCATGCCACAGATGATTGCCAACACAGAAGCAACATCCTGGCATAGATATTTCAAATGCTATAAGAAATAACCATTTTGCTTGTCGATAAACATCATTATGGTTGATAAATATATCATAGCTGTATCAGCTGCCAAATTTTGTTCATCTGTTTAATAAACTCAACATATTGAGAAGAAGCTCAATATATACAGTATTGCGATGTCATGTTTAAAACAGCAAAGTATAAATGATGAAATAAAAATTTTTAATTCAACACAGAAAAAAATAAATTCAACTTTTTAAAATATTTAATCATTACTAATTCATTAATTGAATATTTATTAAGCACCTAACTGTGTGCTAGGCATTGGTCTAGGAGCTGAGGCTACAGCTATAAACAAAAAGAAAAGTCCCTGCTTTTAAGGAGCTTAGAGTCTAGTGGGAGAAGCAGCCAATAACTGCATAATGTTAAATGCACAATGTATTAGATGATACTAACTGCTAGGGACACATAAGCAAGGTTAGGGGAATGGAGAATGCTGGGGCATGCCCGCTAGTTTATATAGGACGGTCAGGGAAGGCCTGTGTGATAAAGTCTCCTTCACAGCAAGTGAAGAAGTAAGTCGCATGAATATCTGGAGAAACAGCATTTTAGGCAGAGGGAACCACGAGTGCAAAACTCAGGCGGAAACAGGCTGATGCTCTTGGTGTACAAACAAGAGGCCAGAGTGCTTGGAGGGAGGGAGTGGGGCACCTGGGCAGCAGTAGAATCATAGAGATAACTTGGATTCAGCTTACGAGGAGCTTACAGGATTTTGGCTTTTATAATGTGTGCAATGGGTATGCATCGAAAGGTTGGGAGCAGAGATGTGCCATTACCTGGCTTGTGTTTTAAAAGCATAATTTTGGCTACTTTGTTGAGAATAAACTGTAGGGATTAAGAACAGATCAGGGTGACCATGTAGGAGGCTGACACATTAATCAAGGCAAGAGCTAATAACGGTGGCTTGGACCAGAGTATTTGTGCTGGAAGTGCAAAGGAGTTTTCAGATTCTGGATATATTTTGAAGACTGAACCAACAGGCTTCAATGCTAAATAAATATGAGTATATAAGGAAAACAGATAGATGAGTATATAAGGAGTCAGGGATTGCTCTCATCTGGTCGATGGGAAGGATTGAGTTACTTTTCAGGAGATGAAGAATTTAAGAGAAGTGGGTTTTTGAGGAAAGAGGCACACTTTGACACGTTAGTGTGGAGAGAGAAAATCAGGCATCATCACCATGTGGCTGAGACAGGATGATAACACCTACAGGCTTAATACAGAGAGAAGAGGAGATATTCAACAACTGAGCCCTGAGATGCCCCAATATTTAGAAATCAGGGATATGAGAAGGTGGCTATCAAAGGAAATTGAGGCAAAGTGATCAGTGAGGAGGATGAGCACCAAGAAAGGGTGGAGGTCAAGTAGTCAAGTGAAGAGAGCACTTCCAAAAGGAGGTAGCAATCATTTCAGTCAATGCTGCTCGTTGTTTTAATCACACTCATT